GCATTCTGACACAAACTGAGTCCCCATGTCACTTAGTACTTCTTCTGGAACCCCCAATCGACTATAAAAGTCAATCAACGCCTCGGCTACAGTCTCCGTATCTATATTTTTAAGTGGAACGGCCTCTGGATACCGTGTAGCATAGTCCACCATAGTTGAGATGTATCGATGACCCCCGTCACTGGCTGGTGTAATTGGTCCAACCAAATCTATAGCCACACGCTTGAATGGCATATCAATTAAAGGCATCTTACCTAATGGGGCCTTCACAACTGATCCCTTTGAAACAGTCTTCTGGCACACATCACACGACCTACAAAAACTGGTAACATCTTGATGTAACCCAGGCCAATAAAAGCTAGTCACAATCCGGTCTTCTGTCTTCTTTTTCCCCATGTGTCCACCAAATATTGAATCATGGGCAATCTCCATAACACTAGTCCTCAACAGTTTCGGCACAACCACTTGACGTACCGTCTTGCCTCCTGGAACTGAACGATCCCGATACACACGATATAACAAGCCTCCATATACCTGGAACTCGGTTGTATGGTGCCTTCTCACTTCTGGTTCTCTCTTATTATAATATTTCTTCAACGATGTGTCTGCTTGCTGCATCTCGATTAATTTGTCTTTTGTTACATGTGCTCCAGTCTTTACATCACACACTTTGAGCGGCTTTACCTTACCAGATTTCTTTGCTTGCGCTCTGGTTGTTACTGCTCCACTCACATTCCACACTGGATCCGGGTCATCTGGTGGTCTTGCTCCGGGCACATTCCCAACAATTAACTCATATTGGGTCCTGCACACATAATGCTTCAACCGTGCCTCTCAAATATGGCGTATCAATTTCCACCATGGCGACTGGAACCCTTCTTACAGTACGATCAACCATCAATATATGACCCATCTTTTTTGTATACTGGTCATCTGGTACCAAGCTCTTCTTGACTATAATGCCATTACACCCAGTGTCTCTCAACATGGTCACAACTGTGTCACCAACCTTCCCTTGACCCACAGGCAAAGTCCTCCACAACGCCACTCCATTCCATACATGCACCATTCACAACCTTTAACTGCTCCCCCGATGCTAACAACAAATGGTCCTTCTCAATCATTTTAGGCACATCACTGTTAATTTGAACAGCACAGCTAGCACTGATATTAGACTCCTCTTTAACCACTGCAGCTGCACCAGTAGTAGTGCTGGGTTTGACACTCTTTCTTTCTTGACCCTTGTGTTGTCCACTACGGCAGAACTTAGCCACATGTCCTATGTCACCACACTGAAGGCACTGTTACCTTTGTCATGGTTGACATCAGTAACGCGGGATGGACATTGTGCTGCTCGATGACCAACACCCTGACATACAAAACACCGGATACTACTACCCTGTCCCACATCAGTATTTCTAATGGCAGTCTTATTATCGTTACGCCTCACCTGGTCCTTTTGTGGATAACTGTCGATCATGTGCCACTAGGTACTGCTTTGCTATTACTGCCAACTCATCTAAATCTTTGGGTGCTCTTTCTTTAAGATAAACTGCAAGATCTCTTGTACAGGCACCATCTGCTCCTTCACCATCAAGTCGGTAACACCATCATATGTTGCCGCAGTGCCTGACAACTCAACCCATTTAGCAAAATAATTCTTAAGCCGCACAAGTAACTAGTCAGGACTCTCAGAACTTTCAGGTTTAATTCACGGAATCGCTTCCTGTACCCATCCTCTGTGAAATCGTATCTTGTCAACAGCGCCACCTTCACACGATCATAGTCAACTGCATCAGTGTCGGACATCCTGGAATATACTTCCAGTGCTCTACCAGTCAACAGTGCACTCAATTTTGTGGCCCATCTGTCTCTATGCTAACTTGCATTCGTTGCAAACCTCTCAAACCGCAATAAATAAACATCAAGTTCGTCCTTACCATCAACAAATGCAGGCAACTTTGGTGACTTTGCTTCGTTGACCGCCAAAATCAGCCTGTTGGAGCCCCAGTATTGCTGCTGGCAACTCTAATTTCCTCAACTCAAATTCTCTTTCCTTTTCTCACTGTTCTGCTTCCATTCGCAATTTCTTTCTTTCGCCTGCTTCCGCTTCCAGCCGCAACTTTTCCTTTCTTTCCTCAATCTCCATTTTCCTCACCTCTGCTTCTATTTCCATTTTTGCCTTTCTCTCTTCCCTTGCCGCTTGTCTGTCAGCCTGCTGAGAACTCAGTTGCTCCAAAATAAATTTTCTTTTGCCTTCTCCAGTCATTCCCAGTTCATCCGCCCATTCCATCAACTTTTGTTTCAACATATCGTTCATCTCGCTGGCCATGTTGTCTTCTATTTGTCAAATATTATATAATATAAGATAAGTGGTTAGAACAAAATCACTATAGTCAATAAAAAAATCAATAATGATAGATATATGCAGTGGAAATAAAATTAACATCAAACTAATTCTGCTTTCAGTTTATTTCCATTTGTGGTTGGGAGAGAGTTGTGCTACTATGGCAACCAAACCAGATGTACAGAAATGGATCGGAGGACACACTGAAACCATTTTGTGTCTTGACTGTAGCGTTGATGGGAAAGTGTTGTCAGGTGGGGAGAAGGGACAGTCTTGTCTGTGGTCACATGATGGAAATGTGATAGAGAAAGTTGGTGTTGGTGAGATTGGTATAGCTGACGTTACTTCTGTGTGCTTCTCTCGCAAAGATCCTTCATGTTTCTATGTGGCATCTGGGGAACAAATTAGACAGTATGATAGTAGAAACTTGAAGATGGCAATGTGGAATTGTGAATATAACAAAGAAGAGATCAACCAGATTGCTCTGAATTGTAATGAAGAGTTGCTGGCATCATGTGATGATTCAGGCTTAATCAGAATTATCAACGTTCGAGAAAAGAAATGCAAGAAAGTTTTAAGGAAACATTCTAATATTTGCACAAGTGTCAGATTTCGCTCAAAGAGACCCTGGGAGCTTATATCTGGTGGCATGGATGCTTCAGTAGTACATTGGGAAAGTGGTCGTGGTCGGACACTTAGCGTACTCAACATGCAAGAAATTGCACGACATTCAAATCCAAGTGGTGGGTACATGGTGAATCCTCCATTGGTGCATTCAGTCGATGTGTCGGAGAATGACCATCTGTTGGCTTGTGGGCTGGAAAATGCATCTGTCGAACTCTTTGAATTTCGTGGCAAAAAAAGTTTGTGTCAGAAAATGTGCCTGCAAGGTCACTGCCTTGGTGTATCTCAGGTACATTTCCCAAAATTCCGGTCAGATGATTGGTTACTCTCTGCAGGGAATGATGGGAAAATCATATTATGGGATATAGCTAATGTCAAATCTACAAGTGGAAAGATGAAAGATGAAGATGGTGGAACTGAAATGGGCTCAAGTGTGTCGTCACAGTTCCAGAAACATGTAATAACACATGGTGATAAGATAAACTGGCTAACTACAGTGAAAACTATAACAAATAATTTTATTTTTGTTGCTGATCAAAGTGAGACAATCTCAGTGTATTCACTGACACACTGATCAATTATTTCATTTCAATATGGAAATATCATTAGAGAATTATTTTTACTATGGCAACAAATTCAGCAGCCTCAATTTTTAATTTAATACCTGTCACTGGTACCATATTTTCTCTATTTGTAGCACATGCGCTCATGTGAATAACAAAGCTGTATCTATGGTGAAAATAATTAATTTTTTAATGGTTCAATATGCAGCAAATACAATTTCTGGTTTATATGTACTTCTATTTGAGTATTAGTTTTGCATGCATCAATTTGGTACTTTATATCTTTGTAATTCAGTAAAAACACTTTATTTTTTCAAAATGGAATTATTTTGTCCATGTTTATTTCATTTATGCATGAAATGTGTGATAATGTAGTATTGTGATGATATAATAGCAGGAAAACGTATGCATATATCACGATAATACGTTTTCCTGCTGTTTAAACCAATTATATCCAAAGTTATGGGGAAACCTGGATTGTCATTGCATATTACAGCATATGACACGGTGGGAGTGTGTACAAATCCTCAGCAGTCGCTGGCTTGTTAGCTGTTGTATATATCTGTTAGTGTCGCTTATGTGTGGGTTTCAAATACAAAGGCAACATTCAGCACTAGCAATGTGGTGAAACC